ACGTTATCTGGATGAGGTGTGTATAGCATTTAAAGGGGTCAAGTAAAACAAAAAGAAGGCTAAGTCCTAGTGGGATAAGGAAGGACTTTACCTGTTTTTCTCTTTTTATGATGGACTTGGGTTGTTCTGAGTTTGAAACAACTAAAAGTCTCCTTTATTTTCGTTTTTAAAACGTTTCTGAAATGACGGAGTAAGTAATGTTCACTTGATTTATTTCAGAGAGAGATAATAATTCTGCAGGTACCTTAAGAGCCAGTACCCTGGGTATTTTTTTAAATTTTTTTTTTTGGAGGGGGTGAATGTGATTTGTTTGTTTTTTGTTTGTTTTTGTTTTTTGTTGTTGTTTGTTTTTGTTAAGCGTTTTACGGCGCTCGCAACTGCACAAGATCATATGAGCGCGCGAGACACATTTTCAGTTGGTAGGAAATTTTGAATTTTGTCCGGGTGGCGGCCGAAGCCTACTCTTATCGATGTTGGACTATCAAAAGATCTTTAACGTACCCAACTTGCACACGGAACTTCCGAAATTTTTCGACCTTATCCGAGAAGGCTAGGTGTTAGATCTTACCTATTAAAAGATCAGGGGTGTGGCTGAAAGACAGCAGTAAGAAGGAACCAAGAGTACCAGTAGAATTAAAGGCTGCGAGAAATAATCGGGAGCCCAGAGGAGGGGGCAAAGGAGCTGAGGGCGTTTTGAGGGGGAGGGGGGAGGGGTGGAGACGAAAGCAGACGACAGAACAGAGAGCAGGAAAGAATGTGAAAGGAGAACATTTTAGAGAAAAAATGTTCCGTTGTAGAGAGCAGGAAAGCATGTGAAAGGAGAAAATTTTAGAGAAAAATTGTTCCGTTGCTATCCGGATTCGAACACGGGACCTAGATCTATTGAATGAGAGGCGAACACCGAAACTTCTCGACCACAGGAACTCACTTTTTGTTTGCTCGTTTGTTAGTTTGTTTTCCTAAAAAGGGACTTACCCTGATCTTTACTTGATCTCTTCGTTTGCGATCATAATAAAACCCGTCGTGAGACCACCACTATTGTTTCCCATAAGTTTCGATTTCATATGACCTTATGCAGTTGCGAGCGCCGTAAAAAACTCTACTTTGAAAAAAAAAGTTTCGATTTCTCCACACTGACACTTTCCACCTCTCCCTATCCTGGGCTAGTCGCTTGATGTCACTCCATGTCTTCCCACTTTTCTGTACATCAATTTCGATTACTCTTCTCCAGGTTAAAAACGTAGTCTTCCCCTTGATCTTTCACCTGGTGGGTTCCAATCTAACACTCTCCTTGTTATGCAACTGCTTAACTTCCTGAAAGTGCGTCCAATCCATCGCCAACGTCTTCTTCCCACCTCATCTCTGACTGGGCTCTGTCTCGTTCATACATGGTGCGACGCAATCCGGAGAGACTTGTTCGACAGAGAAGGTTTCGGGTCAGAAGAGTCCTTTCGGCTTTGTCCGCTGTCCTTCATTGTTCCTGCTGTTGCAGAAGCTCCTCCGTCTCCCAAGTTGGAAAAATTATAAGGCGTGTTTGTTCGTGTTTCTATAACTTTCCTTTTTTACTGGGTCGGGTAGTTGGCCCTCCGCAAACTGACATTTTTCAAGTCGCTAGACCTATTAATTCACCTTTAGTCGCCTCTTACGACACGCAGTATCACGACAGGTGTATTCTTTACTCCCCCACAGTAAAACTATGGGGCGAAAGAAACAATAATAATATGAACGTATAAGGACTACTTTGTCTGTCTGTCTGTCTGTCTATCTGTCTGTCTGTCTGTCTGTCTGTCTGTCTGTCTGTCTCTCTCTCTTTCTGTCTCTCTCTCCGTCTCTCTCACACTCTCTATCCCTCTCTACCTCCCTCTCTCTGTGTCTCCTGCTCCTCTCTCTCCCTCTCTCTCAGTCTCTTTTAATCTGTCTTTCTTTATCTCACCCCCCTCACTCCTTACCACTCTCAGTCTCACCTCTCCCCCTTTCTCCCTCCCACCCTCCCACCCTCCCTCTCTCTTTCTCAATCTACCTTTCTCCCCAGCTCTTGCTTGCTGTCACAGCCCACACGCTTCATCTCCCCCCCTTTCTCCCCCCCCCCCTATTCTATAGGAGCACGGGTGTCGAGGTCCCTTCTCTCTTGTTGCATCTACATACAGAGCACAGATAAACCATTAAAGCGACAAGGTAAAAATTCACAGGTTTGCTGTCTGTCGGCCAATTCGAGGATGCGTAAAGTGGTTCATTAACCCTATCCGTACGGCCTGGGATTATTTTGTACCCCCGGGGATGTATTTTTCTCATTTTAGAATACATTTTACTTGTAGTACAAAGATCTCTTTGAAACTTTCAGTATTTCTCAAAAAATCATTTTGACAGTCTGCTATGCAAAAGCGTACGGATCGGATTAACGAGTAAATTTCCTCTTTGGAAAGTGGTGGCCCAGAGTTCCCCAT